AGCAGTCCATGAAAAAAAATGGAATATGCGGTATGTTGATACCAGCATACTTACCCGTATTTGAATGTAAAGAAAAAGCATGCTGTTGAATAAATAATAATCCCTTGACACTCCAAGTGGTACACTTAACTGTATTGCAGCGTTTTTCGGAGACTAATGGCTTAAATTTCATGGTTGTTACATATGGGAGTCACCGCAAAGAAGCCCTCTGCACTAGACACAGTCAGTTAACTTGATTAATTTTAATTGGTCCAAATAGCTGGAAGTGAAACTGTAAAAAGGAGCAAAAGAACCTACATGTTAGGACCAGTTAAAATGTTGCAATGCAGAGAAGTATACCACAGAATGTGAAAAGGGCTCCACATGACCATCATATAACAGTTGTACCACCTACCTGCACTTGTCACCTACAGAAAAATGCCCATGTTGCTATCCCAGCCCCTATAAACATGTGTTTACACTTTGTTTTGACAGATGCTAGATAAAAACATGAGGGCGAACATGTGCAGTTATTGCACTGCTGACATGTTTGTTCTCCCTATTTCAACACCAGAGGTTTGTGTCTCAAAAGAGCTGTAGCCTGAATAATTCTACAAGTCTAAACTTTGAGACCAGTTTTTGTTGGCTATGACACAAGATCAATTGTTAGTGGTCCAAAAGAAAGAAATACCAGTAATGTGCCTGTATTTTTTTTTTTTTTTTTACATTAGATTAGCTTATGTTTCTTTGTTGGCATACCATAATATTGGATTTATCTTAGACTAGTACACCTGATTTTAAGTCGTAAAAGTTTAGAGCAGTTTTGGGGCTATAGCCATTTTATGAAACTGACCCTAGGGGCCTAATTAACAGAGCTTTAGTCTTAATTTTCAGACCAAAATTATTGAAATTACTTCAATTTGTGATAGCTGTGCAGTTGTTATAAATCCATTTGTTATAAAAAGGAAATTTCATCTATTAGTAAATGGTATGCTACTGAAGTATCTAGGGTCAAAGACTTGAATTTGGGGCTGAAACTTTTGACTAACATTCAAGCTAGAATTCAGGAACAGACCCACACTTTTCTTTTGACTTTCTTTTCTTTTTTAAAGCTATATATTAGCTATCCCTAGTGAATAGGACACATCAGCTGCTGCTTCACGTATTATTCGAGAGCACACATTCCTTATAATCTTAACTTGATGTCATTGTTTCTCGAAATGTATGAATTACCAAATACAGAGACGCCTGTCAGGCTAAGGATTAAAAAGACGTAATTAGATGAAGTAATAGATAAATGATTTCCTGTCGGTATTGATTGTCTCTTTTTTTATCTGCTTACAGTATAATTGATCACAGGAAATGATTAATTAAATAATGAAATGAAGTTTGATACCTAATTCTGCATGGTTGATTCGGTGCAGTATTTTTTCGTGACTTACTATAAACCTGAATGACATGTTTACTTCATCGTATTTGATATATCAAACAAATCAACAAGACCCACTAAGAACCGTGTTTTTTTTTTCTGTATAGATATTTCCAATGTAGATTGTATCAATCCTATATTGATTTCACACAGATGTGTGCAACTTTTTTTTTACAAACAAAAAATCGATCAATGGGTTTTAGTCTGTAAACACAAGTTATACACTAGAGAGTTACCGGGATATTGGTCATAAAAAATCTAATACATCAAAGGAAGCTCTTTATAAATCATCTGTATGTTTACAGTAAGAAATGAGAACAAAATCTGCTTATATAATATTTATCAATTTAAATGGTTCCAGTTGAATCACATCAGATAATTAATATTATAGCCTTATTGATTTTGAATAAAAAGTACGGCTGACTCAGTCTTGCATACAGTGTTCATTGAGCTACAATATCACAATTTTGTGAATTAATATGGAATGAAAAACAGCTTGGATGTGGAAGCTGATTTTCACACATTTTGAATATTTCAAATACTCGGAAAATCGGTCTTCATGCATGTGCACTTTTTTACCTGTCACATTTCTGAATATCCCCTCCCTGTTAAACGTATACATAGCCAGCCTGATACCTGTAATACGTTAATTAATATCATTACAATTGTTCTTGACTTCTCTACAAATCAGTTTAAGTGCTAATAGATTTTCATATTAATATTCATCAGAAGAGTTTAGTCATGAAACTTCATTACATTACCATTTCAGTTGACAACTAGATTAATCTTTAAGGTAGGACTAATTTTCACAGGTTTTGCATCGGCATATCAATTGTCAGGCATAAACTGATTTTCACATGCCACATAACACGTTATTGCTTTCTGAGAAGTAAATTGAAGAACGACCCATAAATAACCACACGTTTTCCACTGCCTCAGGCATCTATAGTAAATTCCCCAAAGTTCTTCCCTAGTGAAAAAAATGCCACAAGCTACACATTTATCTTTGCCCTCAGGTTTGCGTGGTTTCCTTGAACAAGGAAAAATCATTAGAGAAGATGTTTTAATGATGTTTTCACAAACTAATGTTGCCATGGAGGATATTAATGATCACATTGCCAGCCTTTGTTTACTGTAGATATTTGTTATAACCAGAGGCAAAATCAGACCTCAGATTTTTTTTCTTCCTTTGTCTGTAATACAGCATCAACAACAGGAGAAACTTTATACTGACAATCAAGCTGGAGTTAAAATATAAAGAGCAGATTTCATGTTAGCTTTATTATAAATGAAACAAAATTGGCTTGTAAACCAGCTTAGAACCAGGTTTAGTCCAATTCAGAGCCAGGTTCAAACCATACTAAAACCATACAAAGTCAGATCCAAAACATTAGAACCACATTAAAACCAGGTTAAAACCACATCCTTTCCACATCATAACCATGAATGACATTGAAATCAGTGTCATAGTTAAGATTTCAAGAGAAATATCTCAGTTCAGGTAATGGCAACAACAATAACCACCACAAAAAAGGACTTCTTTTATAGAAAACTGTAGTCCTGTGAATCCTCTTCTTAAAATTCTTACTTGATGAGATAATGCTTTTAAAACTCAGTAGCAAAGATGAAAGGCACTAAAGATTGATGCCAGCTTCAGACGTGACAGCTATAAATCCACTGATGTGGTAATCCTTGATATTATGGAAGAACCGTTCATACATATCTCATACAACTTCAGCTGAAAAAGAGGGGGATATGAACGAGGGCAGTTGAAAGGCATTCAGCTGGTTAAAATGACAGTGATCTCTCACTCTGTCTAAATTATAAGTTGATGTAAAATGGGATACATCAGAATATTATTCTGTGTAATGAACAGTGTGTAACAAATGTGAGACCTTGTATGACAAAAAAAGTTATCCATATCACATATTGGAAAAAATATCATTTATTTTTCTTTATGAATTATATGTTCTTTTATCTTTTGAATCTTAAATAGTTTATAAGCCAGACAAAACAGGTTTGTGTGAGTGATTTTTGTCATGCAGACAACACTGACTTTATCTTAGCATCATGGACTTGATGTTGTCCTATTGTTGAGACATATAATAAATCATCTTTCCACTCTGAAATATTGAGCTACTAGAGAAAAGAAAGCGAAAAGAGGGACACATGTTTTACAGCAGGTAAGACTTTGGGCTAAGAAGCATAATTTCACATTTTTTTCCTTCAAAATGAGGATTGTGAAATTTGAAAGTGTCTTCTTATGCATTCCATATAGCAGATTTCAGTGCCCTCTCTGGCTTTGTAAATTCCACGTGAAAAAGGAAGTGACCATATTAAAAACGTGTTTTTAATTTACAAAAAATGGTGGTAACGACTAAAACTGTTACTGGAAAGGGAAGAGGTATGCTGATATTTGAGAAGAAAGTTTTTAGTGTCTTCCCAAACTCGTTGGGCATGTACAAGACTACCTTCAAGTAACGTTGTCTTGAAAGCATTCCCTTTTATACATGGTGTATTCTGTGAGCGAATTATCAAGATGGGTCTCAAATTGCAATGAATTTCAGGGTGATTGCCACTTTTTAAAGTATTAAGATCAATGGATATGTTGAGGAATTTGTGTTATATATTGTATAGGCCTTTTTCAAGTGACGTCACTGTCTGGATGGAGATTGACGCCACCTTTTGCACGTGACGTCATTTTCTGTCCTAAGGGACCAGCTGACGGAAGCCTCTCATGTGAAAAAAACACCAATGGGGGAATTGATCTGTGAATTAGCTATGATTGACTATTAAATTAACGTTTTTCAAAAAAAAATCATTCTAATAATACCAATTGGGATACAAAATTTGAAGACCCGCAAATATGCTTTTGTAAATTCCCATCTTCGTCATGATAGAGGATAGTGAAGTTAGGCCGCAGATTAATAATTTGCAATTTTCTTTGACGCGTGCAGTGCAAAAATAAAATGCCATGAATCAACCATTGACATATCAGTGAATATCTAGTGAAATGTCAATCTGTGGCCCTGGTATAGGGTCGACCCTCTCTGGTATCCAGGCTGATCGACATGGCTTCATGGCGGAACATGCGCATCAGTGTTGCACTGTTTACATTATCGCAGTCGTATCTTCTCAAATGTATTAAAGATATGGCTTTCTGTGGCCTTGGTAGAGGGTCGACCCTCTCTGGTATCCAGGCTGATCGACATGGCTTCATGGCGGAACATGCGCATCAGTGTTGCACTGTTTACATTATCGCAATCGTATCTTCTCAAATGTATTAAAGATATGGCTTTATCAGAAACGGGACCCTATGTTAGACAGCCACTGACCCTGATCTACTTGAAAAGGATGACTTTAGGTGGCTTTATCAGAAGAACGATGGAATTTTTTTTTCTTCGAACCTGATCTTTTACGTTTATTATGTTTCGCTGTTGATCGTCATGGTTTAGCTGAACAAATAAAACCGCGTGTCTCGGAACACTTGCATTACCAATGCTCTCAGATGATATTGTACGTTATCAGGTTCAAATACGCCATAGTTCTTACCTTATCAACGGAATGAGGTGTTATGCAAACTTATCATCTCTGTGTTTTGACTGCTAGAAAATCCAGCATGATACACGTTAATCCGTTGCGATGTTTTAGTGGGGGGTGTATACTTCCTTTAATATTGACATATCTAACAGCGTTATTTTGTTCCCAATTTGTTCAGTCTGATTTCCGGAAAATGGCTAGCATAATTGGAGATAGTGTTTTAAAATAAGTTTGTGAAGAGTCCCTATTCCACGTATACGCCAGCGCCTTACATATTACATTTGCTTGTCTTTTCATGCAGTAAGTGCAGTTTTAAATGCGTTTATTTTTTTCCAAAGCCTCATCGTGTGACATCTTTCTAACGTCCCCTCGACATTTGAATTCCAGAAAATGCGCAATAATCCTAAAGCCCCAACATTAAATAAATTTGCGGTTTTGGGCCTCACATGTAAAAAACTGTCTGCCTACATTTTCCCTATCGTATTGCCTTCCAGAAAAAGCAATCTTCTAATGTGTTTTGTGTCCACTTGTTACCAGAAAAATTGATTTTGGATACACCTGTGTTGAATATACACCATTCCCTTATCTGCGCAGTTGTAAACGGGTCTTCTCGTTTATTTTGACTACCCAAAAAGCAATTCGAAACGTGTTAATGCGAACGTGTTTGCGAATGTCAGCATCGGATACAGGTGTTAAGACTCTTCTTCCCTTCATCCAGGTGTTTATGTGGCAAGCAGGACAGCCTTAACAGAAGAGTGTTGTTTGCATGCACACTGGGTATTATGCACGAAAACCTTCATTGGTGGTGCGTGCTTGGGCGAGGTGTAGCGTCACATTGTTGCCATGGCGATGTTCATTTCACTCTCAGATCAGTTGACATTTTTACCTTACAAGACTGACTGATGCACTGAATGCTTAAGAAATTCCTTGTGCGACCTTTTCAAGTTCTATCGACGGGTAAACAACGGTACTTTGATCAAAGATGTCAGCGAGATGTCCAAAGGACTTGAGCTTCGCTGCAAAAGGTATGCAAAAATAGGTACATGTACATTGAATTGTGGTGAAGCTCGTACTCTGTAATATCACAGGGACCTCTAATATAGCCCAGTGGCGGATTTAGAGTGGGGGTGTCAGGGGGGTCCTGACCCCCCGTTCGATTTCTGAAAATAAAATCACACCAGTGGTCCCCTCTTGAAATTAGAACTTTGACTAGCTGAACCATAGTTGTAAACAGTAGCAAATGGCACCGTTCGCCCTTTAAATACCAAAAAATTTCGGGGTCCTTCAGCGGGTCCCGAACCCCACGCCGAGGGTGGGATGGGAAGGGTCGGCTTCGCATCCGCGGCCTGTCGTTCCTATAAAACGGAACCCACCTTCAAATAATCCTGGATCCGCCCCTGTAGCCTGCTACAAAATTGAAGAAATTTGTAAATATAGAGGAGGGTTTTCTTGTCATAAAAGAGACTATAGTAGACCTGGCAAATATTGTTTCAAAATTAGCTCCACTACCTGGTAGGCCTTATCATTCCCCAATTTCTGTGACTTTGATCTGATCGTTGAATTAGATTTCTCACTGCTACTAGAAGTCTAGAATTACATGGAATCATGAACGACGGGTAAAATAAAACTACCTCAAAAACTTGGAGCGTCAGGAATTTATGTGTCACATGAATTAATCTGTTATTTGAAATTGGTTGGCTCTATCACACCCTGTGTTTCTCAACCAAGTCGGGTCGTCTGCAAGTTTTGCAGTCTCGCTGATTCACGAGAGATCACGATCATTTCAGACAGAATGTAGAAGTGCGATGGATATGGGTCGAAACGTTTCAAGTTTGACAACTCTTAGAAACATCTTGGGACATTCACCTCTGAACTAGGTCTAAAGTGCTGTATTTCTAGGTTCATAAATTGTTACAGTTTCGAAATTTATCAAACTAATGTGGCATTTATTTTGTAAAATTCGTCTCACAATCAATCAGGCCTACCTGTACTAACTGTGATAATATTCGATATCCAAGTCGAGAAATGATAAAAAAAAATAAATGGATTTTTATTCATTGTGATTCCTTGACATTTGTCCCAGCAATGAAAACTTACCTTCAGCTCTTGCTCTTCCCAGAGTTATTTAAAGTATATCTTTGCCACAAAACAGAACATACTTAAATCATGACCGTTTCAAGAGTTTCTTGTGGTTTTTATGACATATGCTTTCACAGGAAAAAAAATCGCCTTTTGAACTCTTTGGGTGATTTATAGATGACATTAGATGCCTAAAAAAAGAATATCTAAAAAGTCAACGACGGGAGTTTCAGATGGTTTGCATGCGATCATTATGGAACTGTTTGACATTTAATAGTAAGACGTAGGTGTAATAGACCACACACCACAAAAGTATGTACCTTATGATAGGGTGTAATATTCTCTTTCATAGCATGCAGCACGCGAATGTAAGTTTGAACCGTTCAAAATAAAGAACCCAAGTGGGAGATGAATGGTTCCTTTTTAGAAATTAGGCACTCTAGAGGCCCCACGAGGGAAAACCCATCATGTATGTTATCTAGCCAGTGACTCCCATATTAGGCGGTTTCTTAAAAAAAAAGGTCTTTGATTTTCTTTTATGGAAATTGAATCTGTTGTTTAGACTATTGCAGACACCAGCACCAAAACAGCATATTTTAAACTTAGTTAATTCTTACAACGACGTTTTTACAGGGAAATAGATTCCCGATAATGTGTATTTTTATATGTGTAAAATTTATTGACTACATAAATCTGTATCTTATCTGTTCGAAAGGGGTTTCAAAATGTTTATGGTCAAGCGTGAGATTGCTTATACGTCATGAACGGGAAAGGGGGGGGGGGCAGGGACATAATTACTAAGTGAACTCACGCTGTTACACACAGCAATGCCCATCATAGAGCAAAGAATATATTTCCTGGGGGGGGGGGGGGGGGCAAGCGCCCTTTTCTGTGACACTAATAATACTGCATCTAAGTAAGTCACAATCCTCGTGAGCTCATCAGTTTTCATTTACCTGATAAATCGGGACTCCTCCACCAACACGATTCCCAAGTCTCATCAATTTCTGCCCACGGGTTGCGGTTATATGTGGTGACGGAACATTCCACCACTTTACTTTCCCATTAAATTGTGAACCCACGCTTTAACCATTGAACGCAGCTCAGTTGAAAGACGTTACTTGAAGCGCAGTCACCATCTTGTCCATCCATTTCGTTCAGAGAAAACTTGTATGTGGCTTTTACAGAACTGAGAACAGTAGCTATCATTTTAGAATGTACCATTTCCCTTATGAGGCTCTGCGCGTGCGTGCGTGCGTTCGTGCCGGATAACGGTTTCCCTGGTAGCGACAAAAGCAAAGGGCAACGTTGTCATGGTAACAGGAAACCGATGTCCTTGCTTGGCTTTGCTATCAATGGCAACTGAAGAATATAGCTCATTTTCAGTCTATTTCCTCCTATTGTTCGTACGCCTCCGCGGCGAAGTCTGAATCAGGAGAGTGTTTACCGGCCTCAAGGCATAAGACTAGACAGATTACTGATTTGAACTCTCTTTTGTGACAGTCAGAAGACTTGATTCGAATCGAATGTTGTTTATGATTCCCTTTCGACTTTTTATCAAGTCCAAATAGGCTCAATTAAGGTGGTATTTCTCGGATCAGTTGAAGCCATACATGTCTCCCCCGACGCCTGGACCTTGTTGGAGAAAATATCAAATAATTCTTATTGATTTTTCTAACATAATTATTAGAGGTCGCACCAGGCTGACCGTTCTTCGTGGCATCGATTTCCTATATACTAGTTCCTTTGCTCCAGCACCAACTTATATTATTTCTGCTTTTAAGAATTCATTCATTCACACTTAGACAAACACAGAGTTTGGGAAAGAGCTCGTGGAAAAAAGGGGAGACGCAGCTTAAAAAACACGAAAAGTCTGTTGGATATCGAACCAAGTTTTGAAAAAAAAAAGACCAGGACATGACTCGCAATTAAGTACCAGTATTCGATAGGTTAACATCGTAATTGCTATTTCATGGAATAGTGGGAGCTCGGTTAGCAAAATCGAATGCTGTATGGCCTATTACAGCTGTATTTGTGATACAGGAATTCAAGGGAAATGATTCGAAGAGTGCAATGAATTCATGTTATACTAAGGTTTGTGAAAGGATTGCAAGAAAAAAATATTACTGAAACGCAAATCTGGGTATTTAAGAATCCAAGCGCAAATCCTGAAGAGAAATCGGATTTTGTATCATCTCTGAGCGTAGTTGAAAAATTGATACGACAAATCGAGTGAAGTAGGTCGAATCTGTGACGTCATCCATGCCGAAGAAATCGATCACTGACGCACATGTCGACACTTCTGCTCTATAGAGCGAGAACAGTTAGATCGAAAAAGTCTTTGTTCCTCGGTGTACGGAAAGATCGATTCCGACAACAAGAATTTATTTAAATACATATTTTTGCTTCGAAGTACGTGACGATGCGAACCCGTATAATCAAACGGTGTTTCATGTCATTTAAAGACGTCTCAAGGAGCTGACGCAGCTACGGGGATCGTTCGACAAAATATACTCAGCGACAGTGTCTCGACGACATCTTTTATTGCCATCGGCCTGAGGTACACGCAAAGACGACTTAAATCACATTTTAATCTGCACTTGTCACTTGGTAATATCAGTGACCATTAAGACGACAGAGGAGAGATCGATTTTGGGAGACGGAATTGCTACGCTGCTTGCTACAGCTGGTGCCTCGTAAGAGTCGACGAAGCACGTTTCCATACCTGCTAAGAAAAAGTCTAGAAAAAATACACCGTTTCATGCTGTGCTATGAAACTGAGTCGTGTACCAGTCCAGCCAATGTAACCATGCGTGCCTTTTATTCTCTTACGGAGCGTCGATCCCAGTGAGTTGTTTGTTGAATATTCAGGGTGTCGATATTTGGCCGGGTCAGCAGACGCCGGTGGACTTTATACAGATGAATATAGATATGCCGTAAAGCAAAAACAAAGAGAAGGGATGCAAGAAATGTTGAACAGTTTACTTCCTACAAGTTTCCTGACGTCATCTGTGTTAAAACAAGGGAGACACGTGCAGGGCGAAATGAATGAAAAACGCACCTGTGGTAACGCAGGTAATGTTACGTAATGGCCATATTCTGTTGTGTTTCTGTGCCTTAACTTTGATTTAGTATGTGTGTGTGTGGGTGTGTGTTTTATGAGAATCTCTGGCCTACTGCAGACAGACACACTGAGCGAATATTTCCAATGATAAAATAATCACAATTTACATGTACGTTGGTCATGATCCAGTCACGATAGGAATATTTTTTATTGATCCTACAATAACGTGTGCACCTTTGAAAATGGAAAGCTTTTTGTGCCCACTCCATAATTGTCAGATGATATTTCAGTGGTAAATGTACTTTGAAATATAGAATGGCCATATACATCCTCCCCCACTGTCTCCACTTTGTAAGCTTCAGCTTCTCAAAGTCACCCTGAGTCTGAGAGAGTTGTGCTGTTGCCAGTGTCATGTCAATGAAAGAGAGTTGAGTTTATAGTGATCATTGAAACTCAGCGGTAAGATTGAGCCAAACTTAGAAATATGTCTATCTGGTCAGAGTGCCTGTATGTTGTAAGGATATGTAATTCTCCCTCTCTCTCTCTCTCTCTCTCTCTCTCTCTTAGATGACATAGATTATAACAGAAAGTTAGATAATTGATATAATAGTCAGTCAATTACAGTAATGCTAAAATAAACTGAAAACTAAAATCTTTTCATGTGAAAGACAATTGAATATTGACATGACTAACATAAGAACAATTCCCTTCATCTACTACAGAGAATTCCCACTTCCTAGGTGTTCTAATAAAGAAAAAAAAACTCAAGATTTTACACACTTAGTATTAAACAGTATGATTAAGAGCTGTTGACACGTTTAACATTTCTGTCTTTATATTCTTGGTGATATTGCCACTGGTTAATCGAAGCTTCAAGTCATG